TTTCTTTATACAATATTGTTATTCCTTTTGTGCTTGCTGGAGATTGACCTACACAAGATTGAAATCTTGAGCGTAAAGGCCGCATTCGCACGCACGGTCCACGTTGGTATTATGGGCGGAGACAATTAACCACTGCGTTCTTTCCCTTTCTGGTCTTTAAGTAATTTTTATATGTCGTAATCCTGATGTCTCGCAGTTTTAGTCAGCACTATTAGTTCGAGTTTTTATCGATCAATTGTTAAAAATCAAGTCCAGCGTCATCAATTTAACAGCAGTAATCAATCATAGTCTGAGGCAATTTGCTATGCCTACCACTACACCATGACCCTACAGCTGACCCGTTTGACGTAAAACTACGGAATCTGGAGATGTGCCAGCTTTTACGTCAGTGATCGGGTTTTTTCCACGTTTTTCCACACAGTTGTCCGGGATTCGTAAGCTATTTATAACGACTGATAGTGATTAATGTTCAGTGTGGGGCATGACTACAAAAAAATGAGAGAATGACAGAAGCTGAACTAATAAATTTATTTTTATCTTGTGTCAATAATTCGCTTTTTTGATAGTTTTTTTATTTAGCAGCATTCACAGTAAAGGTCGTCCTGCTTTCTATCGCTTCGCTGGCCTTCTCGGTGGGATTTGGGTTGCACTAACTAAGGAGGGGGAGTCTTTCATCAGGTCGTGGAAGCCCGTGACCAAAACATTTCGTCCTAGATTGCAGAGGATCATATGTAAAAATCTCGTAAGCTCGCTGGAGACAACAAGCTAGCATTCTCATCGGCGAGCTTGGGAAATCGCCCAACGACGCTTCAGGCAACAAAGTGCACACACGTGATTCCGCGCGTAAGCCATTGTTTTGCAGAGTGAAAATAATAGAGGTTGCAATGGGTACGCGTCTGCAGTGTCTTTATCTAGCTGTTTCGAATGAAGAAAATGGTAATTTCTCTACGACTGATCTCCCGGATGCAAAATGCACAGAGGCATGCATTTCACGGATCACTTGATAGCGGGAACTGTCTTCAAAGCAGAATTTTTGATTCTGGGGAAGAGGTACACGTTGAATGGCTGTCCTTACCATTGCCCCATTTCTTCTTCCACATTTTCTCTTCAAATCTTCTGATGACAAAGGGGCAAGTGGTTCGGCTAAAAGTCGAGAATGCAGGGAGCTCTATGAAGAGGTTTTTCAAGTGCGTGATCCATGCACGATCATCTTATGCCTACCCCTACTGGGTATCTAACACTTTCTCTTTATTCTCTCTTTAATTCTTCATCTAGAAGTTGCGAAACGACGGATCTGATACACTTGCAAAACTTCAGATT